CTAACAATATAATTGCAACATACTCATAGTAGCACAAAACCGAACAGAGTAATCGACATCGCCAAAATAAAGTGACACTGAATCGAGGTCGTGAGTCGTATCCGTGATCAGACTCTGGCCAATCTACCAAGTTAGATGTTGATGTGTTGTGGTTTGAAACTTCATTGTTATCAATTAAGTCAAGATTGTTGCACCGGCCTAACATGTGTGCACTGTTTTTTTTCTGCCAGGTTCTGCGGCTTTTGTGAATCATGAAGGGTGTGACGACGATTTGTTGTAGTAGCTGATACAATCAGGGACAATCCACCAATCATCTCAAAAATTATCAGAGGAAATTTCATTCAAAACAAATAATTAATATTAGTTTTTTTTACTGATGCATATTTACTGTGATCTCTTGACAGGTAGTATTGCCCGGATTGAAGTCGTCGCCGTGAAGTATACTTTGCAGGTAGCGGAATTGGGGTGAAATGGATTTGCGAGAGGAGCTTGCAACATTGTTGTCTTCTTCTTCAGATCTGTATCCTTCTTCTGTTGCAACTGGCGGAGACAAGACAATTTGTGGCGCGTTATTGTTGCTTCAAGCAGTGCATTCTTGCAGGAACATGGAGCGGTTATGAAAAGAACATTCCGCTGATTTTCTTTATGTGTTCAACTTTATTCATCAAATCCGCTATTTCAGCTTCATCGTCAAATAAATTAGGATCCTTGTTATTTTGAGTTTCATTCACGCGTGACTGAGACTCTGGATCAGAACATATACTGGTGATCTCTCCTTCACTCTCAATGCTGGCAACACGATAGACCTTTCTCCTTCTATTATTTCCACCTTTCACTATAGCCTCATCCTTGGCAGGTACATAAATCCCAAAGCTGGCATGGAAAGGAGATTATGCAGGTGTGTGTACTGAAAGAACTCCGTTACCACACACGCTTGGCAGGTCGTGAACTTGACTAAAATCTTCTTGGTCTTGATGTGGTCCGAATATGCTCACAGTTTTATCTCCGTTTTTCTTAACAGGGTTGAACTATCGAATGATGTTTTGCAAATTGGACATGGCTTATGAATTGTGCAGGTTGCAGTCTGATAGCCACAGGTTATGTGTTGCGGTTATATGCTAGAAAAGGAGGTTGTGGTGGGCACACACTCTCTTCAGTTGTTGTGCAATCTTTGCAACACATTTTATAAGGAGGCTTGCTTTATGCCGCCACCGTTGACGAGTTTGCTGTTAAAGCGTGCCAAAAAGACAGATCAAGTGGTGATCCCAATTTTAAGTGACGCATCATAAACACCTCGACCTCCTGAAACAACTTCAACAAGGCATAGTAAAAGTTTGTGAGATGTATCGATTGGCTACGACGAAGGCAGTGGATCCCCTGCTGGAGTCACACAAAGAAAAGCCTTAGGGTTTGAACTTCATTCGATCCCTCTGTGCAATTTAGCTGTACATTTTTGTTTTGAATGGCTCATTGTCGGTTCGGAACTTAATCCCTGGAATGAAGTGAAACCAGAGAGGGAAACCACCATAGTTCCATTCAGCACAAGCGTATGGACCGATGCGGAGATGCACGTATAGACCAGCTTCAGCCACTGTCTTCGCAAATTTCACCAAATCCTTCCTACCATCAAAATCATACTGGCCTTGAAGAGGTTCATGTAAGTTCCAGAAAACATATGTTTTAATGACATCAAGTCCTCCCTCTTTGGATTTCTGAATAAGGTCTGGCCACATCTGTGGAGTACGGCCAGGGTAATGAATAGAACCAGAGATCAAGACCCTGCGTTTTCCATCTATGACCAATGCTCTATGATCATAGTCCACATTGGTGCAAAACATAGCTGGAAAGAACCAAAGCAGAAGTAACACAATTTTGGTGGCTCTCATGGTAACTTTTTGGCAGAATGAAGAGAAAAAGGGAAACCCAGAAGGAAAAGAAGGAACTTTTGTTTTTGTAAATCAAAACACAAACTTGATTTACTTTATATGCTACACATGTGTGTACTTTGTGTCACGTGCTTAAATTGTCCATGGTTTTTTTTTGTGTAACATTTCTTGTATTGGTCATGATATTTTATGATGAACGTATATGGATTCGAGTAATATGCTTGAAACAAAATAATGGATTCTTTAGTGATTCTCTTGCAAATTACTTGAATCATAGGTTTTAGTAATACAATAAGTCTTTGCAATAAATCTGCAATGCCCTGACTTATTCCATTTCTTGATTAGAAAGCAATCATAATTGAAATCACAAATAATTGCGGGTTCTCAATTAAAACTACTCTCAAATCTTCCCTGACCTGGATGATACTTTGAATTAGTCCTTGAGCGTTAAAGTCAGTCACAGAACAAACTTAATCATGAGTCAATTGTCAAATCATTCTTGATGTTTTCCATTTGAAAATGTGATGAGTTGAAACCTTCATGGAACACTTCTTGAAAAATCAAGATATTATGACTTGAGAAATGAACTTCGGCACACTGCCCATAACCCTGGTTGGGGCTTTAGTCACACACCATTTAAATCAATGCACCATGACCTTGATAACAACATAGATCCCTTTCTTGCTGATGAATTAAGTCAAACCTAGACTTTGACACATACTTCACTCATTCCTACTTAATGAACCCCAACCAAAACCTATCCAATTTAGCTCAATCTTATGATGGAAGCAACATATGCATTTTTTTGATTTTTCTGCCCCTGACAACCACATAAGCTTGTCTGTTTGTCTTCAAAGACCTTGACTTGTCTCTGATAAGGGTAACCACTTGATGACTTGAATATAACCTCCTTGATCAGGTTAAAAACCATTGGTAATTTTTTTTGTTAGACACACATTTCTTGATCCCCTGTGAAATGCAAAATGCTATGCAATGCAATGCTTACGTATGTGCTGATGCAATGAAATAAAACATAAGCCAGAGAGGTCGGTCAAATTTTGGGGTACAACACCGTGCCTGCCCCCATATTATTGGATGGTTGTTCTATATTATTATTGTTTCTGGGAGTAACCATTCTCCTAACGTATCTCGTCTTCTGTTTTTTAACATATTTTTTGGTTATCTTACCACTCGTCGATCTCATGCACACTCACAATTTAAGAAAATTTTTAGACAAAGAAATTTGTAGAACAATTTTCAAAAGCAAAAGGTATAAATTTACACAAAAGGGTCCCACCAGGTGTGCCAATTTGTTTACTGTGAGATTTAGTAAACAAAAACAAGTTTCATTTTATTTAAGGATTAAACTCGAAAAAATCTCTGGACATATTTGTGTGAATCATAAATTTTAAACAAGTTTGACATCAAAATCGAAATGCAAGGAAAGCTTAAAAAGAATGACTGAAACTAAATTCGATGTAGTAAATGACTTAAAATTAAAGACTATAATTTGTAAAATGGAACGCATATTCATACCTTTTTGACTCTTCTCTCTCTCTCTCTCTCTCTCTCTCTCTCTCACACACACACACACACACACACACACACACACACACACACACACATTTTAGATAATTTGTGTACAATTGCGGACCCTACGAACATAAGCGAACACTTACTAATATACTAGTCCTAAGTTAATCGTCTACAATGGTCGACTAAGCAAAATATGTCACGTCTCCGTCTCCATGAAGCCTTCGCCTTTGACAAATTCACACATGTCCTCAAATAACTGTTTGATCTTATCCTTTTATACCTCATTCGACTGTGTGAAACAAACATCTTGGAAACTCTGAATTTTACTAAGTCCCCAAACTAATAAATTCCCTGGTATCTGACTAATTGTAATTCGACCAAAGTTGGTACTACTTCTCGACAAATCAAATTCGTCAAAATTTTCATGGTCATAAATGACACTTCGATTTTCTTACAATAAACCCATTATCACATGATCTTCATCACATATTTGTAATTAATATTTGTGTCAAAAATTTGAGATAACACATTCATAATAAATATGAGAAAACACTTCCATATTGATATTTTAATTATTCAAAACATATGATGTTAGTCCTTTTATTTAATTAACGGCAAAAATACTTAAAAGTCGATCAATAAATTTATCATTAATTAGAAAAAAATGACTAACATAATAAACTTTAAAAAATTAAAAGATCAATATAGAAATTTTAAAAGTTAAGCGACCAATGATATTAAACTTTAAAGCTTTTAAGTAATCATTAAGACAAATCATAAACAAATGATTGAAATTTAAATAATTAAGAAGCAAAGCATAAAAATAAAATATTCAAAAGAATCCAAACTAAAATCTGAAATAAAATATTTTTATCAGGTTTGAATTAATTTTTCGTCCCGGTATTAATTTAATGCCAGATAACTCATGCGTTAGAAATGGCAGAACAATATTTGGTTACCATAATATATTTAGAAAAATACTCCAACAGAGCATTATAATTGAAATATTAGCCACCAAAAAAACAGCTTTGGAAATGGTTTGATAAATCAATGAGGCAACAACTATAAACGCACTGGCCTCTTCTTGTCCTTTTCTTTCTCCAACCGCCGACGCTTCTTTCTTTCTTTCTCTCCCCTCACCATCATTCTTCTTGCACTTTCCACTCCTCTGTAAACATCCACATATCTCTTACCATACACCCTCAAATTAAAACCAAACACGTCACATCTCAATTCTTATCTAAATAAAATCTCACACGTGGCAAATAATTCATTCTAGATACTGTGAGTATCACTACACCGTATCAAAACCAACCGAAAAGGTGAAGTGGTTCCATAAGAGAGAAGGGTTCGCTTAAACGTCTTTCTCTGGAGGTTACTTTCTCTCTCTTCATTCTTCTTTTGTTTTGTTTCGCTGGAGAGGGAAGAGAGAGAAGAACCTAACTAACTACTCTCGTTGTTCTTCACGTATTATAGCTTCGTTTGCGAGTTTCCTTCTCTCTTGGAAGGATTTGGAGTTTTCTTCTTATTCTTTTTCTGTTTTAGGTTTTCTCGGTTTCGTTTTTGTGTGGTTTGAAGATGTTGGTAGCTAATAGTTTCGATCTATGGCGGAAAGATACTTTCTTCTCTGCGGCGGAGGAGGTGCAGGAATCAGCTGATATGTACGTTTTCCAATTCCTCTTTTTATTTCACACTTTTCGTTTTACGGTGATTTCGAATTGATTCTGTCACTTAATTCTTTGAATTTTCGTGGTGTGAAATTGTGGATCGATGTTAGTGTATCTGCATCTTTTGTTATGGTACTGTGATTTTTTTTGGCATTTTTTTAACATTGACGGTAGGGAATTTAGGTTTTAACTTCGTTTTTTCCCCTTAGTGCATGCAAATGGTTTATTATGAACTTTGAATTATGGTTATCACTTATTTCAAAAGTTGAAACTAGTGCTTAGTTTATACTTTTGAAGATCTCAGATGAAGAGTAATCATATTGCTTGAGTGATTATGAAACTAGTGCTTAGAAGGTAGAGTGATCATGTGTTAAGTGCCTATTCATACTTGAAGAGTTACTGTGTTACAATAATTTTATTTGTTCATTTATTTATCCAGAATGGAATCAGCATATAGAGCATGGTTAAGAGAGAGGAGAGAAAGGTCAAATACTGTGGATTTAAATGAATTATGTAGGGAGCTCCAAACTGCTTTAGGTACCGCGAAATGGCAGGTATGTTAATATACTAGTATTTCATATAATTTTGACTTTTCCTCGAATGTCTTTATGTTTAATTATTGTAGATTCTTAGATAAGCTACCTCTTACCTGTTTATTTGTCGTTTTATCACTTTAATCCGAGTGTTCCTCTTCGAATGTTCGTTTGCTTATTCTTTTTTTTTTTTTTTTTGATTTTTGGTTTTGAATAATGTGAAATAGTTGGAAGAATTTGAGAAAGCTGTCAGGCTAAGCTACCGACATCTTGGTGATGACAATAGAGCCACTAGGCACAGGCAGTTTATTTCTGTCATCGAAAGCCAAATTTCCCAGGTTGAAGTAACTCTGAGGGAGTTTTATATGGAGGAAGGTAAGCAACCCCTTCGATGGGTGAATCTTGATGAAGAAGAGCGAGATGATTTTGCCGCGTTTCTATCTGGAACCTGCGAGACGATCCAAAGCACTAAGGATGAATGCATGGATGTTTCTCCTTCAACAAAAATCTCACTTGCGCAGAAACAAGTCAACAAAGAAGATAAAATTGTAAATGCTTTTTGCAGCTATGATAGTTCTACAAATGAAAAGGTGTCTATGGATGCTATTGCTTTTAACAAGGGCAGAGATTATGCAATAGAAATAAAAGCAGATGACATTTCTAGGAATAGCGATGATGTAGTTTCTCAAACAGATGTAACAACTAGTACAAGGAAGACATGGAGTCCTCCACCAAATTATGCTGCTTTAAGAATTGTAATTGCCGAGGAAGATGAGCAGAGGAATAAACTCACACGGTCCGTTGATGCCACCCCTAAAGATAAAGGAATCAAACCTCTCTTTTGGAAACAAAAATTTGAAGAATATCCTCAGGCCATGCGAGCAGTTCATATGTTCAATCAGGTTAGATCTATGAACAATTTTTAGAAAGAGACATGCAAAAGAAGTTAGAAATTTTTTCTTCGACTTTGCCTCGCCTACCAATCACATCATTTATGAAACATGTCCTTACAAGGAAATGCTTACGGATTTCTGTACTCTGCAGCTTTTTGGTCGCATTGGTTTATGCCAAAGAAAGCTTCAAAGTCCCTTGCGTTTGCGACGCGGCCGTTCTCTTAAAGTTACACTTGCTCTAATGATTATCATTTTTCTCTTTGGTAATCTTTCAGTTTCCTGCTCTTTCAAGATTCTTAACCGCTGAAAATTCCTTATGTGTCTATTTGCGCGTATTTTAGCTTTATTCTCATGTTCTTACCCTGTAAAGCTTTATTCTCATTATTATGATATCTGTAGCATTACTATTAAGGGACCTTTTCTGGAAAGCTTAATTCTCATTATTAAGATTTTTATAACATTATTTTTCTGTATGTATGATTAATCATTAGTGTACTGGGGAAAAGCGAACACAATAAGAGTGTTTTGAAAAGAAAGCATGCCATTGTCTAGGGAAATATTAAAGCAATTAGCTTTGGTATCAAAACGATAGTCCTTGTTGTTTTGAAACCAATCAATCATGCAGTGTCGTGATTAACTAAGAATCTTTCTCCTTTAGATATCTGGCAAGTAAGACGCCCTCTTGTGCGGTTCCTCTTACATATAATGTCCAATTTACCTTGTCAACAATTTAACTGCATTATGTCATCAATATTATCTGTAACATGTTCATATCTAAATGTGGGGACAATATTTTTATATATATATTTTTTCCGATTTCATTAGCAAGATTGAGGAAATTTTTTTAGCAAGCTGGAATTCTCTGCTTTTATCTTGTTGCATGCTGCCAATCATGTTTTGCCAATAGATTAATCATTTTAGTCTTCTCAGCTGCATCAGACTTCTGTTATTACACTTCTGTTTTCTTTATTTCTGTATCATTGCTAACTACGAATATTTTCTTTCCCTTCTCTGCAGTTCCCTTTGTATTTTATTCAACATGAGGCTAAACTGCTTCAAGAGGTATTTCCAAAACCTTATGTTTTCGTAATTTTATTATGGGATAAAATAATAATAATAATCTAAAAATAGGAGCATGCATGTTTATAGTGTATGATAACATCCATATATTTCCTTTTTCCCTTAGAACATAGTTGGAAACAATGACATATTCTTTTTCTTCAGATGGATTGTTGTGGACTGTAGTTTTGTTAACCGGCAAAATAGTTTATGCACGTTTCCTTCATCTGCTGCCCAAACGTAGCTCAGCCAAATCTTGACTTTTGCGGCTATAAGATAGGGACCTCACAAATAATTTATAGCTGCTAGCATTGTTTGTGTTTCAAGATTATTGAAAATCTTTTTATATATCTTCTCTTAGGACCTCGTTTATCATTTTTTAAGAAATAAAATCAAAAGGTTACGAGTTTTATATGTCTATGTATAAAAACTTACAAAGAGTATGAGTATTCAATAAGCAGAGTCAAAAGGTTACCGTGTGATTGAAAACTTTAATATGTACTAATTAAAAAAAGTCTTGGACCTAGAAACGAATCAATTCATTATAATATTATATAATTTGTAGAAGGCTTAAATAAATTGGCCAATGAAATATTTTATAAGATTTGAAGTCATGATTATGACTGAATGTTGTGGTTTTGCAGGTGTTGATGGTGATGGACAAAAAGGTCACTAGGTGTTTGTGCTGGAAAAAGGGGCCAGTGAAGGGCAACCAACCAATCAGTATCATCTTATTATATTTAGTGTTAGAAGATTAAGATGAATGAATTTGCTCATACATGTGTAGTGTGTGGAAGCCGACATGATAACCATTATCAACATCCTTTCTACACAGGATAGGAATAGGATAGGTGTCTGTTATAAGTGTATATACATTTTACATTCATCATATAATGTTTTATTTAATGTAACTTCCACTATGCTATAACATTTGGTTGCAAGGAATTGAAAGTTGTTCATGTGACAAGATTCGGTGGGTAATGGCGTATATACTTTTATTTAGGTGGACTGCTGCACCTTAACTAATTGTAATAATATCTCTGGCCCTCCCTATCTGCTGCCATGAATTTAATCTCTTTCATTAAACAAACACCTTAGTTTCGGTGAAGGAAAACTGAAGAAAATTATATTTGACGAACCACATGGAGCCACGGAGGAAATATGGTGAAATAAAAAAAAACTTCCTAAACATAATATGACAACAGAATTTAATACTACACTTTCACAATTAAAACTAATTAGGATAATGAAATATTTATGCATTAATTATTTTAAAGGTTGCCAATTTGTTCTCTTGGGGGTAGCAGTTAAGAAACTTACAAATATAAAATTCGTAAAGAAAAAAGTAATAAAATAATTAATTATAAATTTTTGATAAAATCAATATATAATTTTAAAAAAATACTTTTACATGTAGTTTTTAATTTGTGCCGCAAGAACACACTTTAATATTATCCTTTAAAGTAATAGAGTAAACATTTTTAATAAATAAATAAAAAATTTAGAGGTGTTTGATAAACAATCGTATCTTAATACTACTAATTTACTAGTATTAGTAATCATAATTTATTATTTTATCACTTCACATTAGTCAAATTTATAAATTATCACTTCACATTAGTCAAATTATTTTATTTTATCACTTCACATTAGTCAAATTTATAAATTATCACTTCACATTAGTCAAATTATTAATTTTATTTTAATTGTTGATTTATAAGTATCAACAACTTAAAATTATAAATAAATGCTATTGTCAGGTATTAAACTCTGGACATACAGCTTATATCCCTCAAACAAATTACTCTTTTTAATATGTAAATAAAATAATAAAAACAAAAAATCAAATATATCCGTAGAATTAACAATACCGATACTTATCACAAATTAAGTTCACCTTATCAATATTGATATTAATCAATTGAACACTTCACAATAACAAACATAATACTCAGTCAAACCTAGTGAATTTACAAGTCCAAACATTTAAAATCTTAAAATACTTATTACTGTACAATTTATATAAAAACACTCCTAACCCTCAAGGACAGACACAAGTTAAAAATTAAATGTAAAAATATTTTTAAAAAAATGATGTATTGGTTTTATCAAATATTTATAATCAATTCTTTTATTTTTTTTTATACAAATTTTTTATTTGTAAGTTTCTTAACTTTGTGCATTGATTTTATTTGTATTTAAATCACATTGAAAATACGCTTATATTAACAAATCAACAACTAATTCCTTTAAAAGTCATATTGAAAATAGACAAAAATTAATCATAAACCAAAATCCCATATGCATAGGAAAGCAGTAGCTGTTATGTTTTTGTCGGTGGAAACTAGCTGTTTTTTCTTTTGGTCTAAAAAAACTAGCTGCTTTATATTCACTTGAACTAACTGAAAGTAGTCTCCCTAATTTAAATCCATCAAAATAAAAATTACAAATCAATTTTATTTATTTATTTTAACATAAAATAAATATTATTAAATATATTTAGATATTATTATCTAAAACTAGTTCGGAATATAATTTAAGTTAATGATTTAAAATTAAGAAAAAATTGCATTATATTTAAGTATTTTTTTATTAGTATGATATATTATATTAATTTATAATTGATTAATTTTTGAATTGTTTAATATTACTTATTAGTTTAATTTAACTAATTTTGGTATCCAATTTCTTATTTTTCAAACATAATCTAGGTACTCTTTAATATTTTATTTTTATAATATATATTATATTTTGCATCTATGATAATATTTATAACATAGTTATTAATAAAAACAACTATAATATATAATTTGAATATCTAAAAACTGATTTAAAACAAAGCATATTAAAATTTTTAATGATAAATAAAATATTATAAAAAGGTACAATAAAGTACCTATAAAATACAAAAAAGTGTCTAAAAATAGCTAAAACTAAAAAGATTCAAATAAAGGCCAAAAGTACAAATACAAATGAGATTACCCAATAACCGTCATTAATAAAGAACCAATTGAATTTAATCAAAATTGATTTTTAATTAAATATCTAAAATCAAATTACATTTAACAGTTGAATGTGTTTTTACCTTAAAACTAATTCAACCGGCCCTAATCCTTAATATTAATTAAAAATGATTCCAGTTGTTTTGTAATAATTAAAAGGGTTTTTCAATTATTTTCTATAACTTTTTAGAGGTGAGTGTTACAGTGGAAGGGTCCAGGAGAGAATGTTCACCAACCAGTTGAGAAATGGGCCTCATCTCAAGCCTATTGGGCCTAACTTCTAAAATAACCCAAAAAAAGGAAAAAGAAGGAAGAATCGGCGGTTCTTGCCAGATTCGTGTCATAACTAGTCTATTCAGTCGTCCACCGCCACCACAACCACCTCACTCTGATCTCCGACTCTCTCCGTTTCCGATTCCGTTCGTGTTTCCATCTTCAGATTTCAAATTTCAAATTTCCATATCTCAAATTTTCTTATTCAATGTTTTAACTTTCTCATATGAGATCTGAAACGAAACAAATTTTCGTCAGAACTCAGATATAAATAACACACTCATTTTTCTTATATCCCAATCTGAAACCCTAACTTCAATCCCGATCTGAACCGTTTCAATGTCTTGTTTAGCGCTCTCTCTGCAACCGTCCAATGGATCCGATATTCTTCTCCAGACTCGCGAGTGGTTCCCACCCTCACGCGCTCTCGGCGCTCTTTCCGCTTTCCGTCACACTCGCCGTGCCTTTGCCGCCAACAAGAATAAAAACCTCATCCATGAAGACGCCTACGCCGCCGAATCCATCGGTGACGATCCCCTCGCTGCTTCCAGCGGCCAAGTTATCGTCGGTGTTGAGAGCCGGTACCGTATTGTATATCGTTTAGTCAACGGAATTTACGTCCTTGGGATAACCGTCGCCGATCATGATAACTCCGTTAATGTATTCGAGTGCATTCACATTGTTAATCAGGCTGTTAGTGTTGTCGTCACCGCCTGCCGTGGTGTGGATGTTACGCCGGAGAAGCTTGGTCGGAAATACGCTGAGATCTATATGGCACTTGACATTGTTCTTCGTGGCGTTAGTAACATCCGTCTCGCCGCGATGCTTTCCACCATTCACGGCGAAAGTATAGCTAAGATGGTGCATTCTGCCCTTGACTCTGAGAACAAGATCCGGGGCGCTGATAATTGGTCTTCGGCAGAGGTGCATTCTGTCGAACACCAAGCGAGCATTGATGCCTTTGCCAATGCGAGGTTTGAGTTGCCGCAGGAGACTCTTGAGGCTGGTGATGAAGTGGTGGCTAGCCTTGCTGCTCCGGTGGCAAGTGAACAGACTGAAGAGATTCAACCAAAGCAAAATCAGGAAGAGGCTCAAGTGGAGAAGGATCCGTTTGCAGCTAGTGATGCCATTAACAAACCTCAAGAGCTTGTGAGTGGGTTTAAGAAGACTAAGGATGGTTCTGCCACTGATTTGGCTACAGCTTTGGAAGGTCTTGATGTTACCACATTGCCACCTCCAGAGGCAACGCAATCAACCCATATAAATGTGGAGGGATTTGAAGGGAACTATGGTGGTGTTGAGTTTGGAATGGAACAAGCTTCAATTGGAGAAGCTTTTGAAGGTTTCAATGATGCTTGGGGTGGTGGACTAGATGTTTCGGAGTTTGTGGGTCCAACTAAGGCTCCAAAACCACAAGGTCTTGGTGGAGTTGAGCTCTTGCAGACAGGGCCAGATGCTGCACCTAAAGCAACACCTGGTGAGGGTGGTGCACTTGAGAACTTGGTGAAGCAAACTGAAATGAAGGGTCCTGAGATGTATATTTCGGAAGAAATTAGTGCAGAGTTCAGGGAATCACTGCTTGCGAGGGTGGGATTAATGGGTGTAGTTTACCTCAGAACTTTGCCACCTAAAAGTTCTGGCGGTGATAAAGAAACCGAATTCTCATTCCGAATTGAGGGAACCAAAGCTGTTAAGAGATTTGCTTTGCAGAGTTCTCGTGTTAGTAGCCTTGAAAATGGAATGTTTCATGTGAGGACAGCGGCTTCAGAGGAGCCTATACCTATTATGAAATTTAGTTTGCTTCCAAAGTTTACACCTTTACCTTTGAGAGTTAGACTTATAAAACGACACACAGGGAGTTTCATTTCTGTGATGATACAATATGTTTCAAACCCTGATTTGCTTGCTCCATTGACCGATGTTACATTCATTCTGAAACTACCAGTTGACCCAACACTTTTGAAGGTTTCTCCAAAAGCTATTTTGAATAGGGTTGATAAAGAAATTAAATGGCTTGTGCCAGAGATTCCGTTGAAGGGCTCTCCAGGAAGGTTGAGAGTAAGGATGCCTGTAGATTCTAACGAAGATGACGATGAAGAAATTGAGGTGGTTGGTTATGTAAAATTTTCGGTACAAACAAGTCAGACATTATCCGGAGTTTCTATACGGCCTGCTTCGGAGGGCAAGACAGACTTCTATGAGGTTAGTGACAAACTTGAAAGTGGGGTTTACATGTGCAACTGATTTGTATTCATAGATGATTTTTAGGACCTGTAGTTTTTTATTGTGTTCATGAGATTGTATGATTTGGTTGTTTATAAACATCTTGGATATTGAGCATGTACCTTGAGCTGTGAAAAATTGTTTGTGTGTGCTTCGGCTATTAATTTTCATCAATGGATTGTATTTGGTCTTCACAATATCTTATACTACAAAGTATTTTCTACTACCTTCTGAAAAAATTAGCAAAATAGCTATAGGAAATGTAGATCCTTGATAAGCTTGGATTAGGAAATGTTGGTTGTAGAACTGTAATACTCCATTGTAGAACTATAAAATCTGGAAATATGAAATCCTATCAATTAAATAAGAGATCTTAATAAAACAATATTTTTCTAAGAACTTGTTGTCTTGAATTTCAAATGATAAGATACTAATTCTTATAACTAAAACAATTATAATTTATGAATTGACTTCTCCACATATTCCATCATTCTCCATTGCTTTGAACAGTTAAACATGTGGCACACTACTAAATTATTATTCAAGTGAAATAGTATATTTAATCATATCCAGTTTGACACTGAGTGAGAGTAATCTGGTGAATTGTGAAGTTTGTAATCCACACAAATTGAGGTGGTCAACAATGGGATCAAAATCATGCTCTAATGCTCATTTGTTGTTAGACGACCCAAAAGTACTGTTCTTCCTCTTGCAAAGGTGCCCCCTTTACTAATAAACTGAAAAGTACTCTTCTAAGCTGCTATGTTGGTGCTTGGTTCTGCTGTAACGAAAATTAATTTTGAGTGAATTGGTTTTATAAAATTGAAGATAAAGTGATTTTTGTTTGGCTACATTCATGCATTAAAAAGTGGAAAGTACTCTTCTAAGTTACTATGTTGGTGCTTGGTTATGCGGTAACGAAAATTAATTTTGAGTGAATTGATTTTATAAAATTGATTTTGTCTAAAAGTGAGTTGAAGATAAAATGGTTTTTGTTTGGCTACATTCGTGCATGCAAAAGTGAGTTGAACCGTACATTTTAGTATAAAAATCACATTAAGATTTCAAAACCAATTTTAGGGGCAAAGTCAATTATACTTTAGAGAAGCTAAACATGTCAAACTCAATTGTATTTTAGAGAAACCAAACTTGACAAAATCATTTCTACACCTCTAGAATAACTTTTGTCTATATCAAAAGTGGAACCAAACATACACTAACAGAAACTTGTAGGACACCTACCCATATTTCTGTACAATGTGAAATGACCCATACTAGCATGGAGCTAGTTTCTAGTTGATCCTTTTGGCGACGGATTGCTGTCTATCTGAGCACTAGCCTTGAAAAAACCCAATACCCAACTGAAAACTATTGATCTTTTTCATCTGCATAAAATTTCATCTGTTCTTGTGCTTGGATATATGATACTTTAGTTGAGCGAACAACAGGTATGTCATCCATTCTTATAACTCCCATGCCACAGCTTCCACCTCTGTCTCACTTTTCACAAACTGAACAACAGTAGCCATTAGTTTCTGGATGGTAAGAAGAGACATTCTGCCCTGCATTTTAAACAACCCCTGCCATAAGTTACTTGCAAACAGAGGATCATTATCATTTCAGATGGCTTGTGTATTTAAACCACCTCCCTAAAATGGACATGTTTGGATTGACTTATTTATGCTTATTTTATTATCATAAACATAGTTCTGTCCATGTGAAATTGACTTGTAAAGTTTGTGTGATTTGATCAAAATAAAGCTTACAATGAAAAATCAGAATGTGAAAATTGAGATGAAAAAAGTTGTAAAGTAATATTTTCAAAATTTCTTGCGTGCTTATCAGGTTTTTTTAAGACTTCAGCTGAGTAATTTTGGTTTAATTTCTGATTTTACAACCAAGTCACCTCAAAATTAATACCTAGACTCGGAAATCTTGTGATTCCATGAGTTAACTTGCGGGTTTATCAACCTTTGGCACAAGTACTTGTGAGATTGTTTGAGAGAATCTATAGAAACAACTCGTGTCATCTTCATAAGGTGTTTTTTAATCTATTTTCATAAACTCTTCATCTGATATAAACAGATTGACTTTATTATGTCTTTTAATTTAAAATTAGCTTATACATATTCACTTAAAAGTTATATAGCAATTGTTTATGCTATAATTTCTTAATTAAACTATTTATCCAAAGGTATACTTTAATGTTAAAGAATATCCGTATTTAGAGAGTAAAATCACTACTACTAGCATAAAATCACAGGTAGTGTATAGCATAGGAACCTCTAACATACGAATAGTGGTGGGGCAATAAGCAACAACATTGATTTTGTGATAAAAAATCCAATGGTTCAGATTAAGTATGTTGGAGGTCCTGAGTTTAATAGTAGAAAAAATAATACTTACAATTAACTACTAACATTTGCCATAAAAAAACCATGTTGTACCTACATTGTTGGTCATCTGTTTACTTTTGCAATTTACATTATACTGGTATTTTTACTTTTTATTTTGCAAGCTAGCAATTCTCCCTTTAATGAAAAATAAGGAGAACTCAAGGTAGATGTTAACTGAAGTCTATATTCTAATTACGAGTTTGCCAGTTCAGAACTGGTTGTTAACATTGAGAGACAAAATGATGATTTGCAAATTGGCAGATGATTATGACTTCCAGTGTTGTCTTTCACCATAAAGATAATTTTGTTTTCGAATATTTCTTAATACAATGTCCACTGGTTGTGAAAAAGAATGGTGAATGAAGTGAGGACAGAAAGTTCATTTCAAAGCTAATAATGATGTTTTTGAATTTACATGGACCCTCATATTCATTCAATGGAATGTAATAAAGTCAGCAAGATTGGCTTTAAGGGGTTGGATCTTTTGGCTAATGAGTAATGTCCTACTTTTACTGCTTCGAGGGACACAAGCAAATTTTGATTTTTAGTGTTAGCTGGGAGTGTTATGTTTGTAGTAAAACTTGCATCATTCTCTTTGAGGGGTGCTCCAAGCCTCCAATCCAGTGTAGTTACTTTATGTTTAGTGTAGTGAGGTATGGTTGTGCTAAAGAAGTATAGTAGCAGTGGCATGCACACATTATGGTGCTTTTCCTCACCTTTATTCCTTGTCTGTCATGTGTAATCTTCATGACAGTGTTTTTAACCATGATACCTCAATTCTGTCTCCAATCCTTCAATGTTTCCCTCCAACAAAAGCATATGTTTTGGTCATTATAGTTAATCTTGGATTGACTTATTAGCTGGCCACATTACTTCTTTTGTGTTTGGCTGGTTTGAACATAATGATAGAATGCCAACTTGCCAAAAAATTAAACTAATTAATATCGTTACTTTTTCATATAATAATTTTCCTTTTACCTATAATACTCCTAATTATTTATTACATTCATTTTATTTTTTGATAAAAATAAATTTATACTATTTTAAATTTTACAAATAACAATTAAAAAGAAACAAAATATTATTCAAAAAGTGACATTTAAAAAGGAACGAAGTAGGATTATATTTGCTTATAAGAGATACAGTTCCAACAGTAGTTGGTGTTCAAATAGTTTTATAGTGATTATAATAACAGCCTCTACTCAGATCATCATATAATTATGAATGCATTATGAAAGCATAACTGCTACTAACTGTTGGGCATAATTAGATATTTAGAAATATTAACGCTGCATAACTGTTCTGCTAATTAACTATATATTGCAAGGTTATGTAAGGACTACACAATTGATATTCAATCTTCAAGTAGGTTTAATTTCATTAATGCGTTAAATTTTGAACCTACTTTCATAGTTCAACCTCCTCCACCTCATTTTAGACATGGTTGCTGACAAAATGGTGTTGGACATATTGGTAAATTTTACAACACCTAATTATGTTTGCTCAGTGTTTGTGTCTCTAACTTTATAAGGAAGAATGATTGTTGTCTTGTCTCCATAACAATTAATCTTAGTTGTTGGAGTAGAGGAAGAGAGACATAGTATATATAAGAGATAATTTTAGTTGTGTAGATAAAAAAAGAAAAGAAAAAAAACTTAAGTTGTGCTTATGCCGCTTTTTTTTTGAACGAGTTTTTGTTTTTAGGTTTTAAAAGATATTTTCTAAATTAATTTTAAATAATTGTTTTGAAGAAAAGAAATAAAGTAATCTTACTTTTGAAAATTATTTTAGAGATGAAAAATAAAATTTTTTTTTTTTAATAGATTTATTTTTATAATATAGTACTTCTGATCTTTTATATAAGAGATATTATTTTTTAAATTTATTAAATAATTAATGTATTTGATTAATTTATAGAGTAGATATGTTAATTATTTAATAAACCTAAAAACTAATTTGTCTCTTATTTGGAGATAGTATTTTTTTAAAAGAAAACTTGTTACATAACAATCTGCCTTTTTATATATTTTATTTTATGTTAGATATAGTTCAAGTATAATATTTATTATGTTAAATTTAAATTGAAATTTATAATATATTTTTAGAATATTTCTTTTAAATATTTTTGAATAAATTATATCTATATATGTAAAGTGGACACTAGAATAATCATATGAATATCTAATACACTATTTTACAGTAGTTATATTTATATTCATATTATACAATATGAATATTTAACGATACATCATATTTATTAGATCAAATATTAAATAAGTATGAGTTGCCTTTACTATTATACACTAGCGTCAAGACGAACATCTCGTATCTGTCTGTCCGTCTTTTTAGTGTTCAATTGTTTAAAAATATAAATATATTTTTTGTGTGTATTTTTTTTTAATTTAAATTTTATATAAAAACATTGAATGAAATAGTTGTACAAACTATCATATAACAGTTAATAAAAAAAAAGTTAATAAAAGAGAAATTGAATTTTTAAATAAAAAATAAAATGATATAATTAGAATAAAAATAGATTACATCAAATCCAAGTTTTTCTTTTATATATGTTATAGATAGTCGGTCTCAAGCACAAATTAAAAGAGAGAGTTGTGTTAGACGTTC